TTCCATAGAATAGAATAAATACAAATATTCAAATTAGATGGCGCATTTTATCAAATATTCCATGTGTTTTTGTTATAAATTGTCCGCTCTTTAAGACATAAAAGTCAATTTGTACTTAAAACCCTGTCCATAGTTCGTTCCTTTAAAATGTCCGTTCTTTAAGGTCTATTTAACATGCAAAACGGTTCCGTGCCAAGCAATACTGTCCGTTACTCTTATCTGTCCGTTCTTTAGGGTCCCGCTCTAGAGGACTTTTACTGTATAACATTTTCATAACTCGTATCAATATCAACATTTGTAATATGGCAGCAATTTCTGAAAAATAAAATCTTCAAGATGTTTTAAAGTAATACAAAAACCAACAAATTTTTCATTTTTACCATATTTCACTTATTTATTTGAACTATCTTCTTTTTAGACTGTTTTTCGCATAAAATAATGATAAAAGTAACCTAATTAGTTATTACTTCAACCATTTAAGAAAATACAAATATTTTAATAAAAAAATGATTTGTATTTGGTAGGTGACTAAAAATGCTACTAAACCTTTGCCTGAAATTTTCAGTTAAAAGTGCCAGTAATAAAATAAATACGTACAGCACGTTTTACCTGTAAATGATTAGTTGACGATAAATTAGTTTTGTGTTCAATAAGTTAAAAATCTTGAGCATATTAATAAAATTCTGTAAGCGTACTTCAATTATCTTACGTTATCTCGCTTCTGATCGTTAATTTTAAACGCTGTAACTTGCGTCATTGTAAAAATATATAAAAAATCGTCATTTGATGATTAATAAATCACGAGTGGCCGGCTGATTATTATGAAGCGCTGAGGTTATAATTTTAATGATAGAGTGTAATAAATGAAATGTTAGTGGGTGGGTTTTACGTCCAAAAGTTTTTGCATAAATAGAAATTGAACGAGATGATATTGGACCGTTTGCAAGACAATTCACAAATGTTTTGTTGACAGTTTTATCCACGAAAAATGAATTTTCGAAAAAACTTTTCGTCTTTGGTCGTGTTTGTCCTGATAATACACGTCCGACTAACACTCTGTACTGAGCCGATAGATGAAACTCTGATACCAAACGCAGTGGGAGCAAGTGTTGTCGAAGCCACCATCAACAAAATTGATGAGTTTTGTATGTTCCCTTACGACCATTCATTTCTAAGAAGAATTTCTCTAGTTGAAACAAACGATGGACTAAACAAAGACCCATCTAACCAACTCTACAGAGGCATTTGGAGGGTTAGCTTAGTACTTATTTTTAATGGTATTTATGTTTAGTTCAACATACTTTTTCAATATAGATGGACAAAAATATGTTTTCACTATCAAGTAAAGCTACGAGCAAAATGATTGAAGACGTTAAAAAAAATTTTGGCATAGTGTGGTCCAGCTGCAAATGGGAAGATTTGGACGTACCGCTGTATGGAGCATTAGCTGTTCATTTGTTTTTCAATTCACAGTATATAAAAGAATATCCAAAATCGATAGAAGGCCAAGCTAGCGTCTGGAAAACATATTACAATAAAAGCGGAAAAGCCGAAGATTTTGTAAACGCCGCTGTTGACTTGGAAAAAAGTTAGAAATGTTTAGTGTATACATATATTTTTCCAAATGCACCTACTAACACGCATAAACAAACGAGAATGCTTTCAAATACATAAATCAGTTACGAGCCCACATTACTAAAAATTTTAAATATTATGTATGCACATTTCTACGTAAAATTCATAAAATTTAGAATGTGATTGGGCGTCCGGTGATGTTGTATTTTTGACGGATGGATCGGGAAGTTTAGAGTCAGCAGAATTTCGTTTAACGTTGGACTTCATCCAATATTTCATCGAAAGTATTAAGGTAGGAAATCACACTTTGGATGACAGCAGGGTCTCCGTGGTTCAATTTTCTTCATCAGTAAGGAGTGAATTTGATTTAGACAAATACTCGGATCATGCTTCTTATATCCAAGCACTAAAAAAGATCATACAGATTAATTCAGGTGAGTTCTCAAAATTATACCACACATAAAACTTTCTTTATCGTGATTAACTACAAAATTCCAAAATATTTTATTTTTTCTAACTGTCATGTCAAAATGTGACATATTTTTTTAAAACGTATGATAGAGTTATTCAAAAGAGTTTTTCGATTCAGGGAAAAGTTTAAACAAACCTCTCGGTTATGTATTGTACTTTTTCTATTACACACGTTTAGTTTGTTTGTACAATCAGCGTATTAGAGCGCAAAACGCAACCATATTTTCTGCTCGCCTCTTACTGTTTAGATTTGTTAAAATTATTTATCTGCATCAGGGCCGGCCTTAGGTAGGTAGAAGCCCTTGTCAAAAGAAAATTGGTGTCCCCAAATGGCATTAATGTTTTGTATATAATATAATTTCATAATTTTTACTTTAAATAATTTCTGCTGCATTTGGTAAACTGCAAATAAGAAAACATTCAATATTGGAAATCATTAAGGTTACCGCAACAGATTGGGTTTAAAGGTATTAAATGGAAAGTCGTTCAACAGTGGCCGGCAGGCCGTTGCAGCAAGGTATTCAAAGAATTGGATCGGTATTAACTGATGGACTGTAAAACTATCCAGCTGAAACTATAAAGGTCTCAAAGGAACTGCGTAAAAGTGATATCACAATGATCGCTATCGGTATCGGGAATGCAAACATTAAGGAAATCACAGAAATAGCATCTCCTCCCGCTTGCAAAAACGTTTACCATTTAAAAACCTTCTCAGATCTTGACCACATCAGAAACAGCATCCATCAAAAATTCTGCAAAGGTCAATATAAATTATTATTTCCAACTCACTTTATATTTTAATTATTTTAAAAATTACTATGAATTGGTTCAAGCTCCAATAACAATTATTCCGAACGATGACAACGACACCATTGCGACACAGCTGCCCGCCAATGGAGAAAAAAAATGTAAGATCAAGATCAGCCATCAAAACGCAACCATCGAAGTAATGTTCACAAATTCAGTTCATATTTGTTTATATTTATTTGACAATGTGCAACAGCGCTTCCACTAATGTGAGCACGCTTCCTTGGTTGAGCGATGCTTGCTTGCGGGTTAAAAATAAGTCTCAACTTGACGGTTGACCGTAAGGAGGTGTTAAAACTTAGAAATTCAACTGAGGATGCATTGTTTATTTGACTGTTTGGCTTGTTTTTACAAACATTATTTGATCACCAAGCCGAAACACGAAGTGCAAGTTGTGGTCATGAAATTTTATAAACGTTGCCGAAAACATTCAATGAAACGTTTTATAACGTTTATAATTTTTGGCTGAGGTGACGAATGAATGAATAAAAGATTGAATGACTGAATGAATGAAGATTGAATTAAAAAATAAAGTTATTAATAATGTTAGATAAAAGATTGGATTCAAAAATAATGTTAATAATGATGTAAGATAAAAGATTGGATTCAAAAATAATGTTAATATTATGTCAGGTAAAACCGACGACTCCTGGCTCAGTGAAATTCTATCTCTCAAAAGACAATTATCCAAATTCAGCAAACTTCGAGTACAAAGCTGAAGGGACAGATGAGAACCCTGCTGTACTCTTCCTCAACAATTCCTTCACCGTCCACATTTACCTCTACTGTCTGATAGAGGGTGACAAATCCAGGAACCTCACAATTATCATCGAGTCCAAACCTGGAAGTTTGTTTTTTGTTCGGTCTTATCGGTTTTTAATTATTGCATTTTTAAAGGTTATAATAACATTTATAGGAAAAATTTAATAAAATTGTGTAGAGTTTGGTTCTTGTTAATGTTCTCGTCAGATCACAACCCGTGCTACAAAGAGAACAAATGTATGAACGGTGGAACATGTCTGAACAAGCCTGAGAACCAATACGAATGTGCATGTACGCCTGATTACACTGGCGATCACTGCGAAAGTAAATGAAGCGTTCAATTTTTATTTCTCATAATTTAAATTTACATTAAATATAAAACATGTCCTCTTATAAATAAAAATTACGATAATTTTTGTTCATGCTGCCAACAGGAGAAAAAACAATATGCGACAAACTTTCCCCTTGTTTGAATGGAGGACAATGTAGGCCACTGAATGCTGATAGTTATGTGTGCACCTGTCCGTCGCCGTTCTACGGAAAGCATTGCGAACATAGAGGTGGCAACGCAAAATTATAAATTTCAAATTAAAATTTTAAACTGAATATATATAAATATTAAAATTATTTATAAAAAAGACATCTGCCAAGATAACAATCCTTGTTTGAACGGTGGTCAGTGTGTCGCAAATGTGGATGGGCAATATAAATGTCTTTGCCCCAAACCATACATCGGGGACAAATGTGAAATACTAGGTTAGAAAAAATTAATGTCAAACGTTTGTAAAAAAAATTTCGAAAACCATTTTAATATAAAATTAAATTTCGTTTTAAAAATTTTCTAATTGAAAAAAACGAGAAAACGTAACGTCTGTAGTTTTATCAACTCCCGCTTATATGAATACTATAGAGTCACTGTTGGCTATTTCAGGCACTGCGAGCCACGTTTTGGGATATCATATTACTTGCTGTCAAAGCGGGAATACTCATTTTGCAAAACGTAAAAAATACTTCTTTTACGTGCGACTCGATGTCTGTGCATGTGTGCAAGTGCATGCTATCATTTGGAGCCTCCTAAATTTAGAAAACCATAATCGAAAAGTAAGCAGCATCGAGTCCATCAGATTAGATTTCCTGGTTAGACAGAAAAAAAACATTCTAGCAAACAGAGAAACGTTTTTCAACCTCTAAAATCATGAAGGAACAAGAATATAATAATCTAAACCGTTGTTTATTATTATATTATTAATCAACATAACATTCGTTGAATTGATTTGATGAAAATTTCAATTTATTAGATGTTCCTACTGGCTTTAATTGTAAAGACAAAAATCCATGTACGGAAGAAAACATCAAGAAAGGTTTGTCTCTGTGTTTTTTTAATAAACGATTTGTAAAAATGCGTTTCCTCTTTTTTTATTTTTCAAATAAAAATAAACTTTGAGAATAATACAGCCTAAAAGATTTGAATATAAAAAAATGAATAAAAGTTGATAATAAAGAAAAATTATTGAAAATAATAACAATTTTCCTTATTTTAGGCAATATATTTTTCAGAAAATTTTTGTATATCTTCTTTTTTAACTATACTTTCAACATCTTCAATGATTTCTAGTTACTAGTAAAGTAACTCGCATTTTTATTTATCTTATCGTTTTAATACACATACTACTTTAAAATATGTATTAAGAATTTTAATGAAGCTTTTTCATTAAAACCATTATCAACATCGTTTTATTATTTTTAAATTATGTTAAACATTTTGAGCTAGATTTATTTTATAGTTTTTCAATTACCCAATTTAAAAATCCTCATCAACATGTCTAACTTGATAACCACACAGCTTAGAGTGTGAGCCTCAAATCAAGACGTAGTCGATCAAATTGTTAATTTATTTGTTTCTGAAAAATTTTATTAAAAAATTTTTTTGAAAATTTAATTTTAGCTATTTATAATATTTCCAACACAGAAAAGTTTTATTTCCCACATGAAATTGCTGGAAAATTTGTGCAGTGCAGTCAATGGAAGCAGTGCTTTGAGATGAGTTGCCCACCTGGACTTGTCTGGGTGGTGGAAAAGAACACATGTGCCTAATCAATCGCACGCATGAAAAAACTTCAAATTATTTTTTTTAATTTATTTAGTCAAATTAATAAATAAATTTGACAACATAAACTTCAAAATTAATTTGTTTTTGCTCAAACTTTTTCTTAATTGTTTAATGAATTTATAACGTTTGCAAAAAAAAAACAGTTTACTAAAAGTAGCATGCGTTTGTTGTTCTTTAATAAAAGGTATTTCTAACATGTTGATTGATTAGTAAATGTCCCAAGAACATCGTGTATTCGTTTTAAATCTACGGCAATAACTTTTTATAACGTTCAGCAATCATAAATCTTTGTATTGTAATTCAACATTGCGAAAACATTGGCGTCTCATTTGATAATATTATTATTAATAGTACGATGATGACCTCTCTACTGTTGACAGCTATTCTGACTCTCATCCAGCCTTTTATAGGATTGTCTATTGTTTGGTCAGGGACACTGTGGACAGGCATACTCCAAAAGTTGAAATTCAAGCGTAGCTTCAATCTTTTATTGTGTGCTTTTTCCTGCACCGTTACCACAAAACAATGCAAGCTGTCTGGCAGATTTTAATGCTACATAGGTTTTTATCTCAAATGTGACATAATTTTAGTTGAATTCGCTTTATTCCACCAGTTAAACAAAATGTAACGATAGCACCGATTGCTCAATAATCTGTTTATCCCAATCTTAAGTTTCAACATTGTGACGGTCGAAGGCAGAATCTGGGAAGCCGTGGAAATAATGAAAAAATTTAAGGTGTTCAAGAAATTTTATGAAAAGTCAAAAATGACACTAGATTGAACCAAAGTTTAAACGATTCCTTCGATCGAGTGAATGAATAACATTGAGTGATAGGTTGAATGGTGGTCACCAAGAATTTTTTTTTATAAAAATTAGAATGTATGTTTTAAACAAAGTGTTTTGCTTTTTACATCAGTTTTCTTTAATTATGGTATTTCTAACAGGTAAATCTCCAATATTATCTCTTTCCCGGTATAAACTACTTCGAAGAAGGCAGCATTGGCGTTAAGCATTCATTACCTATATACATGGGTAGGTACATGGAGTTTTAAAATAATGATATGCGAAGTAGCCCAAATACCTTAAAGATAACATGGTGAAGCAAGCGCTTCTAGATCAACGTTCAGCTCTCATTGTCATTTATTTGTGTTCTGTTCACATAGTGGAATATTTTCGTTGAAATTATTAACATTAATATCAATAATTTGTGTCCTTGATATCAATAACATTTATATGTTATTTTATACCGTAATATTTTCTTTTGTACTCTAACTATTATTGTAAGTCTGCTTTATTGAATTATTACATAACTTCGATCAATATGCTCATTTAATGTTCGTTCGTTTTCATTGAATTCATTTATTTTATACGAATGTTGCGAATATTCTGTCAAAAAATTCGCTTAAGTTAATTACTTTCCTCATGTACTGTTAATGTTAACACGGTGGTCTTTACAAGTTTTTTCTTATTTGGTCTCAGATATTCATTAAATTGCTCTCTTCTTTATTTTCATTAGTTTGCAGTTATTTTGTTTTGAACATGGATATATAAAATCCATGGTTTTGAATTATTTTGAATAACAAAAACCAAGACACGGCGACTTGGACCGTACTATTTTCTAAGCTTATTTCTTCTTGTTCAGTCAGGGTCAGCCTGTTTGATTGAAATAAGTGTATGACAATTTCTAAGTATTCTAAGCATAAGATGATGATGACAAATGCCAACACATTTTAGAATCTGCAACTTAAACTTCTATGGATTGATAACTTTTAGTGTTTTGTATTTGTAAATACATTGTTTTATCGTTCGCCGTAAAGAATTAAGAATTTCTCCATTTATATATTTTTTTAAATCAAATTTGTAATATAGTTGATGAAACTTGCTTGCAGAACTCGCTTTTTATGCTAACTCTTTGTCATTCGTAACGTCTTATTTTTTTTACAAATTACTTACCCTAGCTGATCTGATATCTGACAGCCCATTCAGCTAAAAAAAGCTAAAGGCTAAAATTTATCCGCTAAACGTAAACAGTTAACATGTTGGCAGTTGCGAGCATGGCTTACTAGTAACTAATCTAATGTTATGGCTACCTGTATTGCTCAGCTAAACTAAGTAAACGAATAATAAGTCCATGAAAGCATGTTTTGCTATAAAATGCATATTTATAATCTTCATAATTAATAATATTAATTAATTTATTTTTTA